GCCAATGGTGTTTTGCCACAACATCATGCTGCTGGGCTCCTGAATTGTGGTGTCTCCATTACAGTCACATTCAGTCTCGATTCCTCCCGGAGGCAGTGGAAGTGCTTTGGTATCAATATATTGTGAGGGTCGAATGCAACCCACAATGTCAGAGAAAGGACAGGCAACTGTGAGAGGCTCAATTTGATGTCAGACTTCTTTCAGCTTCAGCCCTGGTAAGAAATTGGGACACTTTATAAAGATGCTCCTCCGGGAACACAAAAGGTACACACACATACATGTGAGTTGCCACATGTCACATACATGTGGCATGTGCAACTCATGTGTGGAGAGTGCATTTTTCTTTCCCTAAGATCACAGGGTTTATGTGCAGCATGTACAGTCATGCCATATTAATAAGGGATTGATAATAATAATCCTTGCATTTGAGGTGGGGCGGAGGATGTGAGGGACGAGGAGGCCGGTGCCAGTCGAGCGGAGGCGCCGGGTAGTGGATTGGGGAGTGAGGTCGGAGAAGCAGGGAGGGAAGGGATTTGAACACGACTGTGAGGATCTTGAAGTCGATCCATTTGGTGGGAAGCCAGTGAGCCTGGGCCAGAACTGGTGCGATGTGGGTATGGAGTTTGGTCTGGGTAAGTATGCGGGCGGCAGAGTTCTGAACGAGTTGGATTTTTTGAATAGTGGAGCTGGGGAGATCGCCGAGGAGTGCGTTTGAGTAATCCAGGCGGGAGGTGACAAGTGCATGCACGAGGGTTTTGGCTGCATTTGGGGTAAGGTACAGTCGGAGGTGGGCAATGTGACAGAGGTGGAGGAAGTCATTCCTGATCCGGGATCGGATGGGGGGAGGAAGGACAGCTGGGAGTCGAACCGGACACCTAGATTGCACACTGGTTCGGTGTGTCTGAGGGAGAGCCCAGGGAGGTTGAGGAGCTTAGGTCCGCAGGAGTGAAGACGTTGACGGGAGCCAAAGAGTATGGCTTCTGTCTTGTCCACATTCAGCTGCAGGAGGTTTGCACTCATCCAGGCCCTGATGTCTGCCAGACAAGCTGATAGAACATCAGCGGACCTGGAGTTGATGCTGGAGGAGGCAAAGTAAATAATAATAATCCTTGCATTTGATATAGCGCTTTTCACATCTTCTAGACGTCTCAAAGCACTTCACAGAATAGACTGTAAAGTGAGTTGACCGTAGTTTTGTGTGTCATTCACATACATGTGGAAGTTTACCCCATGTCTGTGGATGACATCGCTCAGAGGGAGCATATAGATAAGGAAAAGTAGAGGCCAAGGATGGAGCACTGGGGTCACGCCGCAGGTGGCCGGGCGGGGGTGGGAGGAGAAACCATTTGCTGAGATGAAGTGGAGTTGTTTGTTTAAGTAGGGCTCGAACCATGCGAGTGCGGTCCCACTAAAGTGGATGAGGGAAGAGATGCGTGGGAGGAGGATGGCGTGGTCGACTGCGACGAACACGGCAGAGAGATCCAGGAGGACGAGGGGGCAGAGGGATTAAAGGGTTAATTAAAGTAAAGGGTTAAAAATACAGAAGTATAAATAAATATATATACACAAGAATAAGTGTTCACTCGCTTCAGATATTTGACATTTCTTTTTAATTGCTGGTAAATACCCCCCTATCACTCCACCCCGCTCTCCCCCCCAAAAAGTAAGATAACAGTTAAACAAAAGTGGTTGTAATTTCTTATCAGAATAAAAGGTAATAAAATTTACAAACTTTTGTTGATAATTGTGCTGCACAAACACACCTCTAAAACCGCTCACTTCACATAATATACACAAACACGATTTTATTATTTTTTTTTAAAAAAGACGCATATTTAGAAGGCTCCAAGTTACCGAGTATAGGGTTTAAAAAGTCACGTTTGCCCAATGTACTCTGATTCTATTTAAAAGGTAGTTGCAAAAAAGCACTCCGCTGGTTTGAATTTATTAATTCGATTCATAAAAAAAATTCAGGAGATTAAAGTCACTTTCTGTCTCGGAGGGTTTATGGGAAGAATCACACAGGTTTTTCCACTGACTTGATATTAATGGAGAGAAGCCTGGCTTCTCTGGATAAATAAGGGTTCGGAAGACACAGGTCTGGAGTGAAATTCCTCCCTGGAGGTTGTGCACTAAATACTTCCCCCTCCTTTCCCTCCCTCTCTCCAAATTAGTTCTAAAACAATGGAAACACACAGTATACAATGCCTCTGGCTCTCAGACAGCCTGTGAAGGAATGAATCACCACTGACATTTAAGGAAGGCAAGAGCCATTGGAACAGTTGCAAAAAAACAATAAGCCCCTTGCCTTGGGCAGTCTGCATTGTCAAAGCATCTTACTCCAGTTTATTTTAAGCCCCGACACCATGGACGTGGGTTGCAGACAACAGGGGATCACTGTATTGTGAGTGTGACGCATCTAACCAGCTTCTCTCACTCACCCCACCACCCTCAGCGTGGATTAAATTGAATGCACTTTGCCCTTGAGAGAGAGATCCCAGGATGAACCCACCCTCCAAGCCGGTTTACTTTGTCCCATGCGTCCCAGAGCATTTAAAGTTTAGTTCAGTGTGAATTCTTCGAATGAGGGAGAGCTGCTATGTGTTTGGCTTTGCCAGACACCAGTACACAGCAGCACCCTCACCAGAAGAATTCACACGGGGGAATAAAACCAGTGTAAATTAGCCACTGGGACAGGATACCCTGAAGGGAGGTTGATTTCCCTCTCCGAACTCTTTCCTCTCCTTTCTTTCCTCACTTGCCCTGTTGTAAAATTGCCATCGCCTCTATCCACCTCTCCACATCTCTCCCTCTCTGCCTTCGCTGGCACTGGTAAGTAAGTGGGGAACTCCATTAGCCACTCAAACCAGCTCAACGTCTCTCTCAACTTTGCTAAAAGCTTCCCAGGAACCACAGTGCAAAGTGCAATCAATTTAATCCGCTGCAATATATTTCAGGGATTTGATCCTGAGCCTCGACAGGAGCTTCCAGTTTCTGTGCGTTAATAAATTCTACACTTCACGCAGCGTGGGACTCAAGAACTTCACCTTTCCCACATCAGCGGCTGATCTCGGGACTGAATGGCTTTCGACTGTTTCCATCATTCTGGAACTCAATGGGGGTGAGGAATCCTTACCACTGAACCACCCACCAACTCACCCTCCCATTTACAGTAATCACAAATCTAGTGAGGTCTGTCATTGCATAGTCAGTAATTTCACAGCCTGGCAATGTTACTATAGAAGTATACAAAAATAGTTGACTCACATGTTTTTTTTAACGATGGCAATTTAAAGACCTTCTCTTTTCTCTGTCTCTCTCTCTCTCCCTTGCGGGACCGGGCACTACACTACATTAAATAATGATCCACACACAAGGCATTAATGGGTTACCTGTGAAAAAGACGTTAATAGGACAGTAGGTTGGAAATCCACCTCATGGCAACCATGTGTTCAGCTTCCCAGAGGAGGTGGGGTGTGTTTGGAGATAGAGAGAGGTATTTCCTGGTATTCACTGCCAGGTAAAATGGGCTTTATCCCTCACACCCTGCCCAAGGCAGGTCAGGTTTGGCCCCATGTCCCAGCTGATCAGGAACGCTCACTTCATTGCTGATGGATTTACTATAATTAACACTGAGCTGCAGCAGGTACACCTGCCTGTGCCTGCAGTCACCACAACTGAATCCTGACACAAACACACACTTACTTACACACACACACACACCAAACTTAAAAGAAAGCTTCTTTAAAAAGCGCAGAGGAGCATGATTCCTGGAATGATATTGGTCTGGTAAATACAATGATAATCTCCAGCTCCTGACATGATTGCTTAATCCTAGAGAAAGCATTTTTATATATAACCAAGAACATACTGTGCAGTTTAAGAGGACACCGCTAGGTCCTTAATACTAAACGAGTATTCTTACTGAAGAGCGAACACACTTGAGGGTTTGTTTGAACCAGTTTGGCCAATGTAATAAAGAGGGGGAATAGTTTAATGACCTGCGTCAAAGCGGTTCAATGTCCAGTTGGTTGCTATAAGCAGCTTCTACCACTAGATGTCCCTATTGGAGTGTTTTTGTGGGGGAGCACAGGGAAGCCAACAAGGTCAGCTTACAAAATAGTTGCTTTCATGCAGGGTGGTCCGAGCTGGACAAGTAGCGGGAAGCTTCCCAGATTGTGTTCGCAATGGCAAGCTATGCGGTTTAGCTCCAGGACGCTACCCCGCATGAAGGGGTAGACGCCCAACTGACCAAAATAATAATTCATGAATCAATGGCAGGGGACATCAACTCATACTAGTGGCATCTAGTGGCAGAAACCTGGTACAGCAACACTTTTTTGCAGTAAAAGTACAGGACCTTTCCCTAGTCACTCTCTGGGTAATGTTGGCTTCTGGGGACCCCACTGGAGAGATGCAGGTGATTTTGCAAGCTGCAAATGATGTCAAGTCCTCACAGGGTTAATGAGGTCAGGCTTCCAGTTTCTAAACACTACACTCTAGACATTGACATCGTAAAATAATCTTACCGAGTTGCTCTTGAGGCTGCAGGTTTCTGCACGACTCGCTGACTGCCACAACACTGAGTAGATAAATGACCGTTAGCTGCCTACAAATCAACAAATCAGCGCTCCGTCAAGTCATTCCTCGGGGAAACGAGCGAGAGAAATGGGAAAAGTTCCCACGACAAACGTCAGTGAGTTTCCTGACTCTCTATGGAGTCGGCAATTTCTCACTTGGATCCTCAAGTTCTGGTGTGGCCTCGCTGTCGGAAGCAGGTTTGGGGGATTGGGAGGAGGGGGAGGGGAGATTGGGGTTTGGAGGGGGAATGTGGGTGGCGAGAGAAGTTAGGGGAAAAGGGGTTGTGTGGGCAGGAAGGAAAGATTGGGGGTCTGGTGGGTGTGGGGAAGGGGTTGCAAGATCAGGTGGGTGGGTGGGGGAGTGAATGTGAGGGGGGAAGGGAGAGGACAGGAGTATGAAAAGCTTCGGGAGTGGTGGGGGGGGGGTGGGAGGCAATTGGAGAAACACAGGACCTTTCTTCCCCCCTCTGTCCCCATTCTTCTCTTCCCCAATCTGTCGCAAGTCACAAAATGTCACAGTTGGGTAAAGAATAAACCTGATCTGTCGGTCTTTATGGTTCCAGTACCATGAGATTTCCAGAGCAAAGTGGGGCGCAGGGGGAAGGGGATTGAGTTGGCTTGTTCTGAGAATGGGTTTTGAGCTTGAAACAATAATAAACACTGTACACCCTGACAGAGAAGCTTCCCAACTGAAGTCAGAGAAGCAATGTCCATATCTAGCAGAGCACTGGCTGGCTGTTGGCCAGAAAAAGAAAGTCAATTTGTTTTATATATAAAATATAAAATGAGGAACACAAATCGAAGCACACTTTTCTCTTGCGGAAGATTCTTCAGCCCTGAGCTCCATATAGCCTGGTGTAGAGCACCTGCGCCATTGTCCTGATGCTGGGGAAGGAAAGGAGGGGTTGGGGAGGATTGGGGAGGATTGGGGAAGGGGGCAGGATGGGAGGAAGGTCCTGGTGGTTCAGAAATTCTGCTGCCGGCGTTTCTTTGCGTCGATGGCATCGAGGATGGGCTGCCGCTTGGCCTGGTAACGCTGGCGGATCTCCTCGATCTCCTGCTCCATCATGGGGTCGAGGGAGGCCAGTCTCCGCTGGAGCTCCTCCACGCTCCAACCCTTCAGCTGCACAAAGAGAAGCACATGCCACAGTCAACAGTCAGCACTGGCTCAGGTGGGAGTTTGTCCCAGTTTACGCTCCCCCCGAGCTGGCGCCCAGTTGGCTCAAGCTGCAGGTCAGGTCCGTTCACCAGATAGACCCACAGTCACGACACTTGACAGAGATTCTCTGCCAAGCAGAGGCGTTGAGGTCACATGCCCTGTATCGATCCAAGGATTATAGCATTTTTATTTTTTATTGCTGTTAAGGACCCACAGAGAGATACCCAGCAGTTACTGTACAGCGCCATTCTGATCAACAACAACTTCATTTATATAGCACCCTTCACACAGGCCAGAATCTCGGAGCGCTTATCAGTGGAGCCTGACCCCGAGCCGGGGGAATGGGGTAGGAGGGTGGAGGTGACCATAAACACGGTTGAAAGGGAAGGTCTTCAGTCGTGATCTAAAAGAGGGGAATGAAGGGGCAAGGCGGAGGGATTGAGTTCCGAAATTTCGGGGCATAGTGTTTGAAAGCGCGTCCCCCGATTGTGGAGCGGAGGGGACGAGGGACGAGCGGGCAGGAGGGAGGGAGGGAGGGTTTGTGTGTGTATGTATGTATGTATTCAGTGAAAAGCCAGGGTCAAACCTTTGTAAAGAAACACTTGTTATTAAATATAAATATATATACAAATATAGTCAATTCACTTTACAGCATATTCTGTGAAGCGCTTTGAGATGTTGAGAAGACGTGAAAAGTACTATATAAAATGCAAGGATTATTATTATTATTATTATTCATCGCTGGTGGTGAAGTGGCAATAAGCTCCAGCCACGAGCTCCCTGCTGATCTGGATTCTTTTTAATGTATAAAAGCCCTATTAGGACAGACGGCAGCCTTTTTATTGCTGCTCCCGGCATCCAGTGAACTACACTGGCGACTGGGATCAGCTGAGACTCTCAAAGGAAAGGCTGGCGGACTCCAGCCTCCAGATCTGACTGCCTCATCATTCTGACTAATTGGTATCCTCAACAGGCAATAAGGCATCAGCGCTGTCTCCTGGCCCCGCACAGTGATCCCTGGCGGCGCAATGTAAAGTCACATTAAGGCAAGCGATTATTCAGAATTTCTCCTGGCTTTTAACTGTAGACTTGCATTCATTTAATTAGCACCGATGGATTCAAACAAGTCACTGTCAGTCGGCAAAGGAGAAAATCCCACCTCTCCACAGCTCTGACCCTCATCGCCTCTCCCCACTCACCACCTCTTTCAACCCCTCCCCCACCACTCGCCAAACAGGGAGAACAAAGAGGAAACAAAAGACAAATGATTTTTTTTGTGATCGGTTTGTTCAGGGGTGAACTGTGATGTGGGGGGAAAATGGCACAGTGTTTGCTAATCTGTTTGATCACATCACCGCTCATTGGATACTCCTCCGTCCTCCCAAATCACAGCTTGTGCCTGTCTATATACTGCACATGGCATTCACATATAGCAGCACCTCACACAGACAGTGGGGGGGGGGGGACCTTGAGCAGGGGTGAGAGGAGGGGAAACAGCAGGATGTTTACGTGGGAAGGACGTCCCAAGGCGCTGAACCAAGGCCTACAGATAAACTTCGGTTAAAGTTGTGGATTATCACAGAATATCGCTGCGTATAACAAAGCAGCAGCCCCCGGGCGTCAATCAAAACAAAGGAAGCTGCCAAATCAATCACAGTGCTCCGTAGAACAGAGCTGAGAGAAACGTTCGCGTCTTTCAATGTGCTCCTCGGAACCTGTGACCAGTTGGAGGTCAGTAAGGCTTTGGCTCCGGTTGTTTAACAAGGTTTTCAGATCCTGTTTGGGATTCATGGGACACCTCAGCAAGTCAACGGGACACGTTAATCCTCGGCAGCTGAGGTGTGGCATGAATCTGAAATAGGATCTGAAACAGGAGCCAAAACCTCGCTGACCTTCCACTGTTTGCCAAGGAGTATGTCAACTGTTGTGTATAGGGCACATCAATACAGGGTTCAGTTCCTCTTGAATTTAGAACCAAATGAATCTTATAATAATAATAATTTCTGCTTTTGCGATAACGTCTTATCACGTCGTTCAGATGTCTCAAAACACTTCACAGAATATATTGTGGAGTAATGATAATCCTTGCATTTGATATTGCGCCTTATCACATTGTTGGGACATCTCGAAGCGCTTTACAGAATATACTGCAAAGTAAAGTGACTGTGTATTTTGTGGGCAAAACCCTCTGCCATTATAGCAACATTGATAACTATTTCCATTATTTCCATTGGTGGGTGGTCAGTAACCCAAGGACACCGATTTAAAACAGTTGTTAAAAGAAACAGATGGGAGTTGAGGAGAAATATTTTTACACAGCGAGTTGTTCGGATCTGGAATGCATTGCCTGAAAGGGTGGTGGAAGCCGATTCGATAACAACTTTTAAGAGAGAAGTAGATAACTATTTGGGGGGGGAAGGTTTGCAGGGCTACGGAGAGAGAGCAGAGGAGTAGGGTTGATTGGATAGCTCTTTTCAAAGAGCCAGGACAGACATGATGGGCCGAATCACCTCCTTCTGTGCTGTATAATTCTATGAACAGGATGAACATCTCTGGAGATCACTCTAACGGTGGCATATCAGGCATCATTTCCTCCCCCTCTTGTACAATTTGCAGTCAGACTCTCAAAAGTCATAAGAGAGAGAGAGAAAGGGACGGACGGAGACAGTACATTAAACAAAACGCCTTGATCAAATGTCTCTTGTGTGCACATTAAAAATGACTGAACACCCACATCAATAATTTGGCTGTCCAGATCTTGTGTTTAAAATTCCAGATCCTTCACTGTAGCCAGTAAATAAAACAGACCCGTCTGCATCCGATTTATCTTGAGAGAGAAGCCTCACTGATCTGAAATTATCACACTAACTCGCTCCTGCGAACCCGACTGTTTGGGGGGGGGAAAAACTATCAGACGTCTCCACTATCTTCTTCATACATAAAACCTCGTGCTCAGTGGCTCCTAAACCAATACTCCTTAATTGATCCCTCTCTCCTTACTCTCCTACCTTCGACCCAACTCCGCCATCCAGAGTCTCAGTCTCCAAGTACTGTAATTCCATCTTGAACATTACCATCAATCTTTGTCTAGTTCCAATAGCTTTTGTTTTTTTAGAGAGAAGTAACTGATTTACACTGCTATCTGCTGTCGCCTCAGGATACTCTTTGATAGGAACATCAGGCACTTGTGGTTCACTGCGGGCCTTTTACTATCCTGCAATTACAATCTTTACAGAAGCCCATACATCGCCATGTGTCTCCCAGCATCCACTCGCACTCAGTGAAAGGATCTGACATGCCAAGAGCCAGCTTTAATTAAGGTGTGCCTTAACCTCAAATGGTGCAAGCTGTTAAACCATTCCTAGTAGCCTCCATCGTCCTTGCGTTTGACACTGTGCCCGTATTGTCAATAATCTCACCAATAACTGCTGTGAAATGCACGGACCATTCTTCCAGGTAAAAGCAGCAGCCAGTTTGCAACATCCGCAGTGGGCAGATGACAGGAACTTGGTTCTAATGTCTCGTCGGAAGGACAGCACCACTGACAATGTGGCTCCCGCTAGTCCTGCCCTGCAGTGTTAGCCTGGACTTTAAACTCAAGTCCTGACGTGGGGAGGCGAGAATGTGACCGACTGAGCTAGCCTGACACCTTCTAAAATCTAATCTAATCGCTAGCAGTGTCAACCGCCAACGTCAACCCTCAACACAACAGCAACAACTTGCATGTATCTAGCACCTTCACGCGGGGTAGCGTCTCGGAGTTCTGGTCTCTGGTCACTAACACTGATCCACACCGTGCTCCTAATTCACCTGCAGTCACTCGAGGGGACTCTGATCTGTGCCCTCGATCTGGCCTGTGAACTTGCAGTGAATCTCCAAACTTTTTAGTAACTAAAGCTAGCGCCGACTTTAGAGAAAAAGCACGTTACTGTACTTAAGAATCCAATTTGCTTTGTTGCTCTGCTCAGGGCTGTCAGGTTTATATATAAGGCCGACACTCTCTTCTTCATATGTATGACATCAGCCTCAGTCACCCCATTTGCAAGTCACATTTGGCAAAGATTTGGTAAACCTTTGGCTGATAAAAAATTCAACTAAAATAAGCTTCAGATGATCCATCAATGGCAGGTGACAGCCAGTGGACAGCACAAGCGAATGGTGAACACTCTGTTCTGAAGCATTTCTGGCTGCTCTGCCAGACACAAAGCCAAGTTTATGGTGACTATCATCCATTATCCACAAGGTTATTCAAGCTTTCTGTCTCACACAAACACACACAGACACTTTCTTCCACCTCCGACACATCACCCGTCTCCGCCAATACCTCACTCCAAAATCCGCTGAAACCCTGTTCCATACCTTGTCACCTCTTGGCTGGACTATTCAAACGCCCTCCTCGCTGGTTTCCCCTCAACTACCATCCATAAAATCCAGGTCATACAAAACTCTGCCGCCCGCGTTCTTACCCGCACCAAACTCTGCTCCCCGATTACCCCAGTCCTGGCCAGACTGCACCGGCTGACTGTCCAAGAGAGGATCGACTTCAATATCCTCACCCTTATCTTCAAATCCCTCCATTCCTCTGCACCTCCCAACCTCTCTGACCTCCTCTTGCCTCAAAACAGTGCCTGTTGTCTTCGTTCCACCGGGTCTGGCCTCCTCCTCGTCCGCTGAGTCCTCCACTCCACCCTCGGCGGCTGTGCCTTCAGCCACTATGCCCCGAGGCTCTGGAACTCCCTTCCTCACTCTCTTTGCCTCGCTCCCTCTCTTCCTATTTTCAGGTCTCGGCTGAAGACCTTTCTTTTCGACCGCGCCTTTGGTCACCTTCCTCCCCCTCCCCCCGGCTCCCCACCTCCCCCCCGGCTCGGCCCTGGGATCCGTTACTGTGAAGCTCTGAGACGCCGTCCGGCGTGGAGGGCGCTATATAAATCCAAGTTGTTGTTGTTGAAGTGCTTTGAGACATC